TTCTGATTTCTTTTTGAAGGTACTCAATTCTGTTGTTGTAGTCGGACTGTAATTATGGATTTCTTACCACATTTTCAATAAGGTCCTCTTATTTCTTTTTTGTGCGAACTATGGTTATGGAAAAAGAACCAAATACAAATAAGAAGGTAGCAGCAACCACTGGTTTTTTTTATGGGACAGCTCATAAGAATTCGTATCCATCTATTATGCGCCCCTTTATCTAAGCTTTGGGTAGACCTCATACAATAACTGTCCTTGCTTTTACCTTATCTTTTGATTCAGCTTTTCTTGAACACTGAAAAAAAAATTTTTTGCTTATGGATCTAATACCAAAATTCAATCCGTGATCTAGAGAATATCTTTGTATTCCTCAATCATCTTATTTTTCAGTTGCTTAACATTTTGTATTTTACCAAGTTCAACGTTAGGCCCGATTAGTAAGCATTTATCTGTTTCGCTGTAACAATAAGATGTTGTTTGTAATAAGCAGTTTTTTTTGCTTGGGGAATTGGACAAATTTTAGTCATCAATTGCTTGGAATTTTTAGTAGTCTGGATACAGAAAAATTTAGTAATCTGGATACATAAAAATAATGTTATTAGAAAGTACCTAGTCAGAAATTCTATCTTTTTATTTTACTAAATTGTAGTTTTGGAAGTATAGTATGTATTCTAAGTATTCAGTCTTTAGGCAGAACACCCTTACCTATTCCTACTCAGGAAATTTAGTGAGGTCTCAAAAAATAGAACAAAGGGAAAAGGAAAGGTTGCAAAAGGAGGAAGAAAGAAAGACGTAGAAAAAAAAAGAAATCCACTGAAGAAGATCCTTCCCTTTTTTCCGAAGAAAAGGGTATTTTGGAAAAAGAATTGGACTTGAAAGTAAACGAACCGGACTTGGAAGGATCTGATTCTGAATTGGAAATCCTTGAAAAATATGAAAATAAAGAACATATTGTTGGCTCTTCTTTTTTGATTATAAAAGATGGACTCGGCCATTTCGCTACATAAAAAATAATAGACTTGAACAAGCGGGTAAGAAACGAAATGGCACAATATTTCTTTGACATACATAAAAGTGATGGAAATAGATAGAATATCTTTTACCCATCCGATAAGTTTATCAACGTTTTTTTTCAAATAATCAAAAAAAAGATACCCCTTTTATCATTAGAAAAAGATATTTCTAATAAATTGGACAATTTTTGGGTTTCTAGAAACCAAACAAAATTAAATTCTATAAAAATTGATTTGTTAAATCGAATTAAAAATCTTGACAAACCAGTATCAGTCCCAATACTAGAAATTGAAACAACCAAAACGCGATTATGTATACACAATGAATGAGACTAGAAAAGAATACTTACCAGAAGAGTATGATCCCTTGTTAAATGGGCCTTCCCGCGGAAGACTAAAAAAAGATATAACGTTGATAAACGAGACTTCGATCAAAAAGTTGAGAGAGAAGGTTATGCTAAATAGACTTCATGCTTTATTGTTGATGTCTCCTTTTGAAAAAAAGGAAAAAAAACCATTACAAGTTGGTGAGTTCTCAACTTTATCATCGAGTTTCAATTTAACGGATTCAGAACAACTAACAAAATTTTTAGTAAATGTAATTATATTTTGAGACAGACGATAAAAAATATTCTGCAATAGAAAAAATAGGTAAAGTAGAGATTGGTTAAAAAAAGTCCCCGGATGGTCATACAAATTAATAACTGAATTGGAACAAATATCAGTATTTTAGAAATCCACCAGATGATCATGATATTCGTTCAGAGAAAAGGGATAAGTGTATTAATTTTTGAAGAGCCTAAGACTCTCAAAGATAAGAATACAAACAAAGATAAGAATACAAAAGAGACAAATATTCAAGCTATAAAATCCGACAATGATGAGAAAGATAAAAATATGAAAAAGAAAAGGAAGATGAGGATAATAAGCTTTATTTGTTACGATATCCGCACCAATCTGATTTTCGCCAAGGCTTAATAAAAGACCTCTATGCGAACTCAAAGACGTAAAATAGTTATTGAGGGACTTTTTAAAGCAAATGCGCATTCCCCTCTCTTTTTTGACAGGATGAGGAAAAAAACCTTTTTTTTCTATACCATACCTGGCTCAAACTGAAACGACTTTTTATAAAATGGTCATCCAGAAACGAGGTTCGGTATTTTAGAGTCTACAGAGGAAAAAAAAACAATAATAAAAAGAGAAACCAAAAAGGAAAAGAAACGACGAAGAGGAAATAGAACGGTTAGAGATAGGGGAAGCCCTGGGAAACTTTCCCATATACCCAAATAATAAGAGGTTTGTTATTAATAACCCAATCAATTCTGAGAAAAAAAATTCTATTACCTTCATTCATAATCGGGAAAAATATAGGGCGTATGCTACTATTTCAAACTCCTGAATGGTCTGAAGATTTAAAGGGATGGAATAAAGAAACGCATGTGAAGTGTACTTATAATGGTATTCCGTTAGCTGACAAAAAATTTCCGGAAAATTGGTTGACAGAAGGTATTCAAATCAAAATTTTATTTCCTTTCTGTCTAAAACCTTGGCACGAATATAAATCACTAACTTCTCGTGATGACTTTTGTTTTTTTAACAGTTTGGGGAAGGGAAACAGAACACCCTTTTGGTCATCCACGACAAACACCTTCGTTTTTCGAGCCTGTTTTTAAGGAACTTTACAAATTTGTAAAAGTAAAAATCAAATTTTTAAAAAAGTTTTCAAAAAAAAAAACAAGTTCAAACGAAAAAAGAACAATACACCCGAGTTTAATAAAAAAAGAAAAAGATGATCAAATAAATAACCAGATAATGAATCAACCCTTGAGTAAAATTGAAAAAATTACAGATTGGAAAAATTATTCACCGATAGACAAAATACAGGCTATTACTCATAGGACAAATACAATTAAAAAAAAACTAGAAAGAATTACGGAAGATAAGAAAAGGCTGACTCTAGAACTAGATATGAGCCCTTACAAAAAAAGTTCGAGATTAGCCTTGTCAAAAAATTTTTGTCAAATGTTAAAAATAAAAAAAAATAGATTAAGATATAAATTTCATTATTTTATAAAATTATTGATTCAAAGAATATCTAACTATATTTTTTTATATACTATATCTATTTGCCAAATGACTGAAAAACTCTTTGTGGAATCAACAAAAATGAACTCTCTTTCAAATATAAAAACGCATAATAATAAGCGTTATAAGGAAAAGCCAGAGAATTTTGGTGATTTATCTAACTTGTCACAAGCATATGTATTGTACAAAATATCACAAAGGAGTTTTTTGAACGTATCTAATTTGATGTCTGTTCTTCAACAAAATGGAACATCTTTCTTGATTGAAAAGAATTTCTTTATTAAAAAAAAAATAAAAGACTCATTTCATAAACAAGGAATACTTCAATCTGAAGGAATAAAAAAAGAACTTAAGCGGTCTAGAACGAGTCAATGGAAATTTTGGTTAAGAGGGAATTCTCAATACGATTTATCTCCTAATTTCTGGTCTGCCTTAAGATCACAAAAACAAAAATGGAGAAATAGGGCGAATCGCTATCGTAGGTCTAAACAAAAAGATTTACACAAAAGGAATTCCAGTAGAAAATTAAAATTAAATAATTACAGGAAACAAAAGGATGCTAACTCAGTATTTAATAAAAAAAAAAAAGATAATTTTAAAAAATGCTGTCAATATGATCTTTTAGCATATCAATACATTCAGTATGAAAAAAATAGTGGACCCCCTCCAGGAGCTAAACGGGAAACGATTTCTTATCATTACAAGATGTCACAAAACAACTTGTTTGCGATAACGAAAAATCTTCCTATCACTAGTTTCAGAGAAAAAATAGAAAGGGTCAATATCCCCTATACAGACAAAAATTTAGAGAGAAAATATTTAAATTTGAAAAAGATTAATTTTTCTCTTGATAAAAAAGCGGATATTGAGTCCTGGATCACGGGTAATGATAACAATACTCAAAGTACTCCAATTTTCACTTATAATTATCAATTAATTGATAGAATGGAAGAGATTGTGAAAATTGAGCAAATTTTTAAAAATGAAAAAGATCCTTTTGCTCTTTTGATTCAGACAAATACCGAAGAAAGGAGAAAGGAATCTAGTAAATTCTAAAAATTCTTTATTGGATTGGATGGGACTGAATGAAGCAATACTCGACCGTCCATTAACGGCTGAGGAACTTTCGGTCTTCCCAGAATTTCTGTGGTTTGTTAATAATATAAAATGAAACCATGGATTATACCAAGCCAATCACTTATTTCTAATTTGAATCTCAATGATGAAATGACGAATCAAAAGATCGGTAAAATTAAGAATAAAAACAAAGATAAAAAGGATAAAAAGAAAACTGAGGGTGAAACCAAAGGTAAAACTGAGAGTAAAAAAAAAGATAAAGCCGAGGGTCAAACCAAAGGGGAAACTAAAGGTGAAACCAAAGGTGAAACCAAAGGTGAAACCAAAGGTGAAACCAAAGGGAAAACTGAAGGTGAAACCAAAGGTGAAACTGAAGGGGAAACCCAGGGGGAAACTGAAGGGGAAACTGAAGGTGAAAAGAAAAGTCAAACTGAGATAGAACTAGAGTTATTCCTGAAAAATTATTTATTTTTTCAATTTAGAGAGGATGAGGATGTTACTTTTAATCAAGGCCTTTTCCAAGATCTCCAGATCTATTGTCTCTTGCTTAGAATGCTAAATCGAAAAAAAATGATGCTATCATGGATTCAAAGGGAAAAGTTAAATTTGGGTCTAATGCCACAGATGAATCAGGAAGAGAGTATTCAAGATTCAAAAAATTCAAAAAGAAATGTTCCAGATTCAAAACAGAGTGTTCCAGATTCAAAACAGAGTGTTCCAGATTCAAAAAATTCAAAAAGAAATGTTCGAGATTCAAAACAGAGTGTTGCGGATTCAAAAGAGAGTGTTCCAGAATTTTTAAAAAGGACGGGATTTTTGGTTGACCCCCTTCCGCTGTCTATCAAACCAAACGGAGAATTTCTTATGTATCAAACCATAGTTCTTTCATTGGTTCATAAGAGTAAAGAAATTCTTAATCAAAAATACGTAAAACAACGAATAATTCGCGCTGAAGAGAACAATAATTGTGATCCGCTTCTTATTGAAAATATTTTATCATCTAGGCGTCGTAGAGAATTAAGAACTCTAATTTGTTTCAATTCAAACAAATGGAATGGCGTGGATGCAAATTCTCTAGTTTCCAACAAAAATCAAGTTTGGGAGGAAAGTAACCCTCGGCATAAGGATCCGAATAAATTGATTGAATTTTTTCTTTGGCCTAATTATCGATTGGAAGATTTAGCTTGTATGAATCGTTATTGGTTTAATACTAATAATGGGAGTCGTTTCAGTATGTTAAGGATCCATATGTATTTACCATTGAAATTTAATTGGTGGAAATTTAATTGATAGTAGTACTATCTACCCTCTAGCAGGGTAGATGGTACCAGGTTAGATGAAAAGCAATGAATGGAAATATACCTTATTTTAATTTGTATCTAACTGAATCGAGGATACCATATATTTATTTAGATCTATATAGATACTTTCTCCCTCATCCAAAGAATATTAAGTTGAAATAATTCACTTTTATTTTATTAATGAACCCGAAAAGAGAGGGTTTTCTTTTGATTTGAATTGATAGACTTAGTTAGAAGAATTCTTTTTTAGCAATAAATGTCTTTCACATCCAGTGATAACCTGTAAATCATTTTAAATGGCAGTTCCAAAAAAACGTATTTCGAAAGCCAAAAAGCGTATTCGTAAGAACATTTGGAAAAGAAAGACTATTGAGGTAAGATTAAAAGCTCTTTCATTAGCAAAATCTCTTTTAACGGGTAAGTTTACAAGTTTTTTTTACAAAAAAAATAAAAAAACATTGGATTCATTTCTGTCAAGTTGATTTCTTGTATAATATTTCTTCTTTTTTCTTATCATTTTCTTTCTTTATTTTTCGTTAGTTCGTTTTAGTTACTAATCAATTATTTCATATCTATGAAATAAATCTATAACTTAATTATAAAAAATTATTTTAAATGCATATTATATATCAATGAAGGGAGTTCATTTAGTTTATGATAAAAAACTTATCTCTTTCGACTATTTATAAAAACCAAAACCAACAAAACAGAGGTTCCGTTGAATTTCAAATATGGAATTTCACCAATAGAATACACCGGCTTACTTCCCACTTGAAATTGCATAAAAAAGACTATTTATCTCAAAAAGGTTTACGTAAAATTTTGGGGAAACGACAACGACTTTTAGCTTATTTATCAAAAAAAAATACATTGCGCTATAAAGAATTAATTGATAAATTGGAGATTAGAGAGACAAAAACTCATTCATTTTGAAGTTGTATAGCTTTTAGAACCTATTTTATACGTAAATTTTAGAACTACAGTCTGGGTACTGAAACAATTACAAAAGAATAGCTCAGGGTAGTGAATAGAAAGACATCATGTCCTTTTGTCTATTGATTCTTACTGTATAAATTTGAAGGGATTTTTTATTTAAAACTTTAAAACGGCAGATTTAGTTAATTCAAAAAAGAATCCTTTTTTACCCTATTAGGTAGTTTGCGTAGTTATAAAAAAAATGATAATATTAAAACATAAAAATTGATAATAATTTACCAAAAAACATAAAATAATTTTTTTTTTATTTTTAAAACCAATCCAGAAATCTAGTGATTAGAATTCTTCTGAAAATTCATTGAGTCATATAGTATCTAAAAACCAAGTATCTTCTAATTTTATATTGCATAAAAATAATATTTGGAGGATACTATATCGATAATTCATAAAATTTATAAATTTATTCGTTCAATGGCACATTCTGTAAAGATTTATGATACATGTATAGGATGTACTCAATGTGTTCGAGCCTGCCCCACCGATGTTTTAGAAATGATACCATGGGACGGATGTAAGGCTAAACAAATTGCTTCTGCTCCGAGAACAGAAGATTGCGTAGGCTGTAAGAGGTGTGAATCCGCTTGCCCAACAGATTTCTTGAGTGTTCGAGTTTATTTATGGCATGAAACAACTCGCAGTATGGGTCTCGCTTATTGATCTGGTCCAGAAAAGTATATTTGAATTCATTCTATTTTTATTGAAAACCCGTGCTCTAAAATAAAAATATTTCATATTTTGTAGCACGGGTTTCATAAATTTTTAGCTTTTCACGAAGTAAAAAATTAATGTCTTTTTTTTTTATTTATTCCAAAGATTCAAATATTAAAGAATAAAATCTTTTTTATGTTCGCGAAAATGAACCATAAGTATGTAGACCTAATCCAATTAAATTGACTCCAAAATAGCATATCCAAATAATAAGAAAACCTATAGATGCCACAATTGCCGAAGTAGCACCTTCAAAAGTTCTATTTCTTCGAGTATGTAAATAAATTGAAAACACTATCCAAGTAATAAAAGCCCAAGTCTCTTTTGGATCCCAACTCCAATAAGATCCCCACGCTTCGTTCGCCCACAAAGCCCCCGAAAGTATTCCTATGGTTAAAAAGATAAACCCTAAACTAATAACTCGATAACTCCAATAATCTAATTCTTTACTTAATTGAATCTTATAAAAATTGTTAGCCGAAAAAATATAATTCATTTGAAAAATATTTTCATTTTTTCTAAAGGTAATGACCATAAGTGCTACTGATAATAAGGAGCCACATATAAGAGCTGCGTAACCCACTATCATCATACTTACGTGCATTATTAACCACTGAGATTGAAGAGCGGGGACTAATATTGAATATTTCTTAATTTCTGTGAAAAGACCCGAAGTAGCAAAAGCCTGGATAGAAAAATCAATTGGGCTTATTATTGTACTTAATAATTTTGTATTTTTTTTTAAATAGGAAAGGCTATTAATAAGAGCAAAACTCCAGGAAAGAAAAAGCAAAGATTCCGATAAATCACTTAGTGGGAAATGGCCTGACGAAATCCAATGAGTAGCTAATAATCCTGTTATACATAAAAAAGTTATGAAAATGCACTTTTCTGATGAATTAGAAAGTTTTATGTTTTCATCGACGAAAAAGATTCTCAAATAAATTTTAATTAAAATTGAAACGAGTATTATTGAAAGTGAAATATTACTTAGTATATGTTCTAAGGTTGAAACTATCATAAAAATTATTAAAAAAAATAAAATAAGATTTTAACTCTGAATTAGATAAGAAAAAAAATGAAAAAGAACAAAAGATTACTCTTATTTTTTATGCCGCTACTCGGACTCGAACCGAGATGCGCTAGCACTGCTTCCTAAGAGCAGCGTGTCTACCAATTTCACCATAGCGGCATGTTATTTACTTTCACTCATATCTTTTACCCATTTATAGAATTTATCGAAACGGAAATTAGAGTGATGGGCGAACGACGGGAATTGAACCCGCGCATAGTGGATTCACAATCCACCGCCTTAATCCACTTGGCTACATCCGCCCCCAACTAAAATATGTTCTTTTCAAAAAGGAATCAATAAAGGAGCAATAACCACTTTCTTGTTCTAGACAAGAAGGCGGAATTGCTCCTTTATTCTATTTTAAATAGATTCCCTATCTATATACTAAGAGACAAAGTCTCTAGCCATTTGTAGCTATAACTTGGATAGCAGCTAGGTCTAGAGGGAAGTTGTGAGCATTACGTTCATGCATAACTTCCATACCTAGGTTAGCACGATTAATTATATCAGCCCAAGTATTAATTACCCGGCCCTGGCTATCAACTACGGATTGATTAAAATTGAACCCATTTAAATTGAATGCCATAGTGCTGATACCTAAAGCAGTGAACCAAATACCTACTACAGGCCAAGCAGCTAAAAAGAAGTGTAATGAACGAGAATTATTGAAACTAGCATATTGGAAAATTAATCGTCCAAAATAACCATGAGCGGCTACTATATTATAAGTTTCTTCCTCTTGGCCAAATCGGTAACCTTCATTAGCCGATTCATTTTCTGTGGTTTCCCTGATCAAACTAGAAGTTACCAAGGAACCATGCATAGCACTGAATAGGGAACCGCCAAATACACCAGCTACGCCTAACATATGAAATGGGTGCATAAGAATATTGTGCTCAGCCTGAAATACAATCATGAAATTGAAAGTCCCAGAGATTCCTAGGGGCATACCATCAGAAAAACTTCCCTGACCAATTGGATAGATTAAGAAAACTGCGGTAGCAGCTGCGACCGGAGCGGAGTATGCAACCGCAATCCAAGGGCGCATACCCAAACGAAAACTAAGTTCCCACTCACGCCCCATATAAGAAGCTACACCAAGTAAGAAGTGTAGAACAATTAGTTCATAAGGACCACCATTATATAACCATTCATCAATGGATGCCGCTTCCCATATTGGGTAAAAATGTAATCCTATAGCTGCAGAAGTTGGAATAATGCCACCTGAAATAATATTGTTTCCGTAAAGCAGAGATCCAGAAACAGGTTCACGAATACCATCAATATCTACTGGTGGAGCAGCAATGAAGGCAATAATAAATACAGAAGTTGCGGTCAATAAAGTCGGGATCATCAAAACACCAAACCATCCAATGTAAAGACGATTTTCAGTGCTAGTTATCCAATTACAGAAACGACCCCATAAGTTTTGGGTTTCGCGTCTCTCTAAAACTGCAGTCATGATCAATTCTTGGTTGATTTAATAATCAGGGACTCCCAAGCACACGAAATAAAAAAAAAATAGAAGAAATAAAGGCTTGTTATTCAACAGTATAACACGACTTAGATATTCGTGTCAACCAATAGAGCTATCTAATTTGATTCCGCTTTAAGTCAAGT